TTTGTTACTAGGAGTTACTCATTCAGGCAGTGTTATCTCTTGATTATTAATTCTTTTATCATTTTAATCATCATTACAAGACCAGCAGGTGGCATTGTGGTTAAGGTGCTAGACTCCCATGTGCCAACCACAGTTCAAGTCCTGGGTCTGGCAGCTTTGTTTTCTCACTTTCCTTCTCTCTGTGTCTTGTGGGTGTGTGTGCTCTGTAGCAAATTATAAAAGATAATAGCAATAATAATAATGATAAATAAAATTAAATACTTAGTTTTTAAATATCTCTAAAAACAGAATCATCCTTTTTTTTTTTTTTTAAACAGAGATTTTTTGCTATAGGGCATGTATGCTCACAGAAGACATAGGGACAGACAGAGAGAGAGAGAAAATAGGAAACTACCGCCCCAGGAGGATGGTTACACCACAATTTCTTCTCCTTCATTCTCCTTGCAGGATTTTGAGCACACACACATACATGCACCTGTTGTTTCAAGCTGCCGTGTCAGGACTCGAACTGTGATTGACTATGCAGGAGTCCAGTGCCTTAACCACTACATAAGCTGCTGGCTCCAGAGTCGTCCTTCTTTACTTCTCATAATACAACTTGACCCAAAACCACCCTGTCACATCTTAACATATTCACTTCAACTTTCTTTTCCTATATTTTTTACTCATAACCTATTAATGTCTTTATATTTAAAATAGATTCCTTATGGACAGCATATAATTGGGTTTTGCTTTTTTGTTTAATCTAACAATATCTGCCCTTCAAGTGGCATTTTTAGAACACTTGCATTTAATGTAATTATAAATATGGCTGGGTTTAAAACTACCATCCCACTATTGCTTTGTTTGTTCTATTTCCTCTTTTTTCTTGCATTCTTTTGAACTAAAGTTTATCTTAAGAATTATTTTTTATTTAACTTTATTTGTTATTACTTTCCAATTTGATCAGAGAGAGAGAGAGAGAGAGAGAGAGAGAGAAAGTAGGCAACAAGGTCCGGGACTTGAACCACAGTCAACCAAGTGGAAGTCCAGTTCTTTTTTTTTTTTGGAGAGATTTTCACTGTAGGGCACGTGCGCTCGCCAGACAGATAGAGAGAGACATAGAGACAGAAAGCGAGAAATCACCCCCCAGGGGGGATGGTCACGCCGCAATCCCTTCTCCTCCATTCTCCTCTCGGGATCTTGGGCACGCACGCCCACGCGCCCGGCGTGAGTTTTAAGCCACCAGGTCCGGGACACGAACCGCGGTCGACTACGTGGGAGTCCAGCGACATAGCCATTACGCTAACTGCTGGTTCCCCAAGTCCAGTTCTTTTAACCATCATGCCAATTGCCACCCCTCTTTTGGACTAAGTTATTTTTTGTATCGTAATTTGCTTCCCCTATTAGTTTATTAGATATACCTCTGTTAATGTTTTCAGTGATTGCTCCAGGTTAGGGGTTGGCAGATATGACTGTCTTAGTCTATTCAGGCTGCTATGACAAAATACCAGAGTGGGTAGCTTACTTCTCACTTCTGGAGATTAAAAAGTCCAAGATCAAGGTGTGAGCAGATTCAGGTCCTATTAGGAACCTCTTTCCTGCTTTGCAGATAGCTGCCTTCTTGCTCTACCTCATGTAGCAGGAAGAGATTAATATTCTTCTTATAAGGTAAGATTTCCATCATAATCCCACTCAAATTTCATTTATTGAAGCCCTAACCCCCAATGTGATGGTAATAGTGCAGCTTTTGGGAGGTAATGAGGTTTAGATGAAGTCATGATGAAGGAGTCCCCATGATGGATACTTAGCTTGTTTTGAATTGTTTACTAATACAAATAATGTTGCAATAAGTAAATATGTATAAGTATATACACAATATACATTTGCAATTTTTATGGTATTTGGAGGGAAAAATAAACTTTTCTGTTTACCAACTCAGGTTCAGTGACTGGAGGTCTGTGAATTAATTGACAAAAGACAGAGTGACAGGAGAAAAGAGTGTATTTATATATGTGAGGCTCACAAGGAAGAGATAACCCTGAAAAGCTAGAATTAAGGGTTTATACATCATCCCTTTTTAAAAAACTGTATGGGGGCCAGCAGGTGGCATGGTGGTTAGGGTGCTGGACTCCAACATGGTCAGCTGTGGTTGGAGTCCTGGGCCTGGCATCTTGCTTTCTCACTCTCTGTCTCTGGTGAGCACACGTAACCTATAGCAAACTAAATAATAACAATTAATAAAATTAAATAATTCTTTTTTTTAGAGGTTTTTGCTAATAGGGCGTATGCACTCACTAGAAAGACAGAGAGATAGAAAGCGAGAAATCACCCCCCCGGTGGGTGGCCACACCACGATCCCTCCTCCTCCATTCTCCTCTTGGGATCTTGGGCACGTGTGAGTTTAGGCCACCAGGTCCAGGACTCAAACCGCAGTTGACTACATGGGAGTCTAGCGACATAGCCATTACGTAACTGCTGGTCCCAAAATGAAATCATTCTTTTAAAAATTTTTAAAATAAAAAAATGTATGGTTGTTGAGTCTCTGTACTTGGGGTAAGGAGCAGAAAGTCACTGCAATGAACCAAAAGTAATGATTTATTTAGATACAGTATTTTTTAGAAATTTATTTATTCCATTAAAAAGAGAGAGGTAGCAACCCCCCCTCCCATAGGGTTTTGATGCCTCAATCCACTCCCTGTTTCAGCCAGCTCAGATCATGGGCAAATGCATGTTCAGTGTCCTTAGTAAGGTCTTCAGACATGAACCAACAACCTTCCTGTGTGAGTCTGCCTTGTAAAACATCCCATTTTACTGCTATGCCATTGTCAAGCTTCTATATATTATCTAATTAAAGGGCTTAAGGGCCAGTTGGTGGCATGGTGGTTAAGGCAGTTGGACTCCACATGGCTGACTGCATGATTCAAGTACTGGACCTGGTGGCTCAAAAAATGTACCAGGCGCATGTCTAAAATCCTGCGAGGAAATGGAGAAGGGATTGTGATGTGGCCAGCCCCTCAGAAGGTGATTTCTCTTT